CTGTTGGTGCAGACAGGGTGTACAGAGTGTGTGTCTGTGCAGTGTGGACATTCAGGGTGATCCTCGTACTTGCGTGCATAAGGGAAAGTGAGGCTGGTGGTTGAGACAGTGTTCAGCGGCCATAGCCGCAAGTTGTACAGTTGTTGTGAACAGAGTTTAAGTGCAAGTTCATTGTTGACTCTGAGTTGAAGAGTTTGGTTCTGCCATCAGTCCTGTGTACGCATGTTGTGAGCAAGTCTGAAGTCGAGTCTGATTGCAGAGGTCCTAATGTACCTGGATTCTTTCCTTTTTGTCATGGTCTTCCTTTTCTTTTCTGTTTATTATCTTGCTACATCAAAAGGCACAGATGAGGAATGCTGGTACATGGAACCTTGTCCTGGGAGTCTCTAAGCACCTGTCAATGAATGTGAAGCTCCCTGCAATGGATGCATTTTGTTTCCCCACCTTTTTTTCATTTTCAGTGGGTGGGGGAGGAGGTGGAGGCTGGGAGCCCTGCGGGAGGTGGGTGAAAGTGGGGGTCCCTGTCAACAACATGTGGGGGCGCAGCGTTGAGGAGCATAAAGACGAAGCTTGTCAAGTCCAAAAAATTTTGATCTTGAATTCGTGATAACACGGCGCCGCTTATACACGGAGCTTCGCCCTTCACTAACCATTGAGAAATCCACTGGGTTAAAACGGAGGCTTTGCCAAGGGCGGACATTAACAGACCATGTATTCCTTCATTCTCTTAAATCGCTTTCCTTACCCTTCTTCTTCCTCTCTTTCAGAGTCTTTCCTTTTTCTTTTCTCTCTCTTTTTTTTTGGATGTTTCTCCCCGTTCTCTCTTTCCCTCGCTTCCTTTTTTTTTTCTTTTAATTTTTTAACTTTATTCTCGATTTTTTGTTTCACTCTTGTGCAGCAGCGTGGTCCCACTAGCACTGAATAGACGGTATGGTCATTCCAGTGTGACATCTTGGGCCTCTCTCTACCACTCACCACCGGCACCTTTTGGTGAATAGCTTCACCCCTCTCCACGGCCCTTGTCTCAGGAGTAGATTTTTCCTTCATGGAAAATTAACAAAAAAGAAAAAAAAAAGACAAGGCCATGGTGAGTACTCCACAGCTCCCATTTTCCCAGCCAACAATGGTGGGGGTGGTGGTGCCTGGTCTCAGCCGCCCACCAAAAGTACTGAGTAACTCACCATCCCCGCCGGTTCCAGCTGGCCCCGGCCTTGTCTTGCGGCACTCACCCATGTTGCGGCAAGTGCTCAGGCATTTTCAGGTAATAGTTCCGTTATACGCGTAAAACACTGACCGTGGGATCACAAGTCATTGCACGACAGATTTGAGTTGCTCTACTGCCACACAAATCATTCTCTGCCACACAATCTATGTCGCCATCGGAGGGGGACGTCTTATTTTGGCCGGTCTACTTGCTAACACATTTTCCAAGCAGACCTGTTTGCGGTGCGCTGACCATTTTTTTCCATCGATTATGAATCAGACCCGGCGGAGGCAGGCTGGTACATCCAAAACAAGCCCGCTGCGCTAACAGGAGAAAGACTCGGAGGTACTGGTGCTTTAAACCACCATTCCCTCCGAGCCTCGCTTTCCCGACCCGGATTACTGCTGTGTGCCAGAAAAAAACAAACCGATTTGGGCCCAAAATATTGTCTTTGGGCCTGGCACTAGCTGCCATTTTGGTTTTGGTCTGATACGCTGAACCCCTATTAACGCAGGGTCAACATGGGCAGGTTTCTCTGTATTTGATGGTTCTAGGCGCTCACGCTCCAAGCCCATTCTGCTGGGTCTATTTCTAATCTTGAATTTCCGTACCCGGACTATATATAGTGAAATGTTCATTGAACTTTATTTCTCTACTACCCTCAATCTTCCTCTAAATGTCCTTCCGCTTTGACTGAAACTGGAGGTCTTGATTTCTTTTCCAGTCTGCTTTTTTTTTTCCTGGTTTGCCGAGGGTCCACAATGAGGGGTACTATGTCCAAGTCGAGCTAGCAGTAAGTCTTTGTTCTTCACCCACAACCAAGTTTGTTGGGATTTCCAAACTAGAAGAAGGGTATCTATCTGGATTTTTTCGTTCGCTGCGCTCCTCCTCAGGTTTTCAACTCTTTTTGCCTTTTTATGATTTTTCCTATGATCGTGTTCTTGTTCCTCCCCTTCCACTTTTCTGGTTTTTCCCTTTTTTCTTCAATCTTACCTACTTCCCTTTTTCTAAAAATGTTCGCTTCTATTTCACCTCGTTTCTCTCCTCATGTTTCACCTGTTGGTCTGTTCTGTGCAGGTGGATTGCCAGAGGATGTAAGACTCTCAGAGAACTTATCGTCACTCTGTGTCAGCGACTTTCGTCACTCAACTGTGAGCTCACCACAGCTTAAACACATGATGATAGCCCCCCCCCCCCCCCCCCC